AATTACGGAATAACTTTTCCCGCACAAAAAATTTTTTGGCGGGAAAATTTTTTGGCGGGAAAAAATTTTACGGGAAAAATTTACAAGGTATTTTAAAGGTTTTTTACAAGTGTTTTGGCGGGAAAAATTGAGGGATCACTTTTCCCGCCAAAAAATATTTTGTATTTTGTGGATCTAATTTTGTTATATTTGTGATATCTTTTATTAAAAGAAGGGTAATTTAGTCATTTTGTACATAAAAAGGGGTATTTTTAAAAATGGACAGCCAAATGGGGCATTTTTGAAAAGGGGTATTGAAAAAGGGGCATTTTTGTGAGTCTCCCATTTTTATTTTAAATTTTATTTTTGGTCAATATTTCTAAGTTAACTTTAACCAAATTTTTTTTTCTAAGTTATTGTTTTTAATTTTTTTTTATGCAAACACTTTTAGAAGTTATTAATTAATTAAAAATTCAAACACTAATACAACTCTTTTTACATATATAAAATATAGTTAGCTACTTAGATAAACTCCTAACAATAGTTTCAAAATTCATAAATTATTGGTAACATCCGTCATCTTGGCAAGAATTCCTTTAAAATTTGGAACACGGGTTTTTAAGATTTTCAATACCCATGTTTCCCGAAGCCAACACAGGGCTACGCTTGTTTACAACACACCCTTGTGAAGTTGCTAAACTATAGTCAAAAGACACTCGTATAAATAAACTGGTAATATTATTATATAATTTTTGACATTAACGAATATTTGATAAAAGTTTTGTAACTAATTCAAATGTTGTGGATAATAAGAAGAATGGACAAACGTTTTTTTTAATGCTTGTATAAATGAATAAATGCATTTGGATTTTGGAGTTAAGTTGTTTCCATTGTCATTCATGATAGATATTTGTTTTGGTTGTTTGAATGTTGCAGTATATCGACTGCCGTGTGAAAGAGCTAGGCTACTGATTAGATGTAAAAGGGAAGTGCCGTGTAATATTGACTTATCAAAGTTGCCAGCTTTTAACCCAATTAAATAAAAGTATTTTGCTGTTATATTTCCCATTTTGTGATTTTCATTTTCTTATCTATGTAATCAAACCATTTCATATGCTAATAATGACAACGGATCTCTCACTCTCCCTCTATCTCATTCTCTCATGTTTCTTGTTAAAAAAGAAAGCAAAACCAACACCATATCTCCACGCTTGAACAGATATGTAGCTCACAGTTACCATTAGCAATGATCTATACGTATGAAAGAAAATTGGTTGTAATACATATATATATGTATGTATCATAAAGAATAAAATTGACTGTTTTACATTACATATGATCAAGAGATTGCAGGATGATTTTAAATTTTACACACAACCACAGAATAAGAATTGATCAACTTAATTACAAAAACATGTAATGGCAAACAAAGAATTAACCGCACGTGTCCCCAATGTTTTGTTGTGCGCTAGCTGTCGAAGAGTACCTAGAAAGAATTAACAAAACGCGTGGCGGTAGAGTCTGATCCACCAAATGAATCATCTAGGCCGCAGTGAGAGACGTTGCATGTCGATAAAAATTGAAGTTTCGACGAAGACATATTGGATTTATTAGAGACTTTATGAGATACGGAAAAATAAAGATCTAAGAAAGGTAAGAAGTTGTTCGTAAATCAAAGGAGATTTCGATTCTAAGAGATGACGGAAATGTGGTAGATCGTCATGTGTAGATGATATTAAATTTGGATGAACAATGAAATGATGGAACATTAGAATGATAGGAAAATCTAAACATATTAGTTGAATAGAGTGTACCAAATGTTATATTTTTTTAACACTTGCATGGTAAGATATGTGTTTCAAGCTAGCATAATAGCATTCATTACCTTTGGAGAGAGAGAAACTCGCGACGTCATGGAGAAATCCCCAAATCTTTGATCAAGCTCATCGACAAACACGTACGAAACAGACTTTCTTCGATCAAGGATGAAAGATTGGCTGGTTCACTTCAATGTTGGTTTGCTTCTAGAAGTTCATAAGTAGCCTAATTCTTTTAATTCTTTAAGACCTTTCGAAACAAAATTGCACTTGTTGTAAAAAACGTTTTTAAGTTTGAATAAATTTTACATTCAATTAAAAAAAAAAAAAGTTCACTCACTGTTTAAACATGTCAAAGTTTCATAAATGTTGTAAAAGAAGGATAGAAAATAACATAATTCCGTTTCTAAATAATTAGTCAATGGGCCTGGTGGACTTATGTGGCACAACATAATTATAAGAAGGTTCGATTAGTTTTTTTTTTTTTTTTTTTTTTTTTTTTTTTTTTTTTTTTTTTGGTAAACCATAAAGTTCGATTAGTTAAGTTAAATATAGGCCTGGGCATTCGAATTTCGGATCGGATTTGGTTTGGATTTATTCGGATTCGGATAATTCGGGTAGGAGATTTTATTATCCGTTCAAATTTTATGACTATTCGGATCGGGTTTGGTTCAGATAGTGTCAGATTCGGATCGGTTTCGGATCGGTTTTGGATTGTTTTTTGAGTAAAAAGAAACTAAAAAAATGTTCAATTTAAATAAAAAATAGTTTAATCTCACTAAAATTTGGCTAAGTTTTCCAAAAATATGTATAATTTTAACAAATATAACTAAAAACTTTCCGATATCTAGGTTATTTAGGATATATTTTTTTTTTGTCATCCGAAATTAAGATATTTTTGTTATTTGTTATAAAATTATAGCTAAATATAACTAATATTTTTGGATATATAATTTTATTTTCGGTTTTCGGTTTGGATCGGGTTCGGTTTGGATAATTCGGATAGGAGAATTCATTATCCGTTCGAGTTTTGTGACTATTCGGTTCGGATTCGGAGCCAGATTTTTCGGATCGGTTTTTGGATTTCGGATTTTATGCCAGGCCTACCTAAATAGGTAGTACAATATTAATCAAATAATTAGCCAATGGGCCTAGTGGACTTATATGACACAAATAACAGGCTTTTAGTTACGGCCCAAATAATTCTCCGACGACTCCGTCAAGTGGAGGGATCGTGAAACCGGCTCCACGATTCGATCCAATTTCAGACGCGACTCGAGAGCCAGAGCCACTCTTCGTCTTCTCTTCGATCTTCAACACCAGCAATTTCTGATTACATCTATCATCCGTCTCTCTCTCACTCACCGTTTTGCCAATCCTTTGCGTGAAATTGAAGCTTGGTGCCTGAACTGTGATCTGCGGAATCTGCGATGCGTTTTGGACGACCAGACTACTGATACCCTGAAAAATGAGCTTCTGGTGCAAATTTTCAAATTTGGATCGAATCAAGACCACCACCGGCTAATAAATCAACCGATCGAATCATAATTTAGGGTTTGACCCTGATTGCAATGGATACAAGTCAAGTCTTATCACTTCTTCTATTGATTTTGTTCATCTCCAATGCTTCTTCGTTCGATATTTCTCGTGAGCTAGTTGATGAAGAAACACACAAGGATAATTCAAATTCAACCACTAAACAAGTAAACTTCGATTCCTTTCTGTGTTTTTTCGTTTGATCTTGTATAGAGTTTTGAGCAATGTGATTTGACTTTACTCTATGTTTATGCTTCAGGAGTCTCCGTTGCTTAATCCTAAACCCAGTGGAGATGGAAAATCCAATGTTACCTCATCAGAACCTACTCTGCCAACTAGTAATTCGACGAATCCTAATCCTAAAGAGCCTGATTCAGTTAGTCCACCTCCGCCACTGCTACCTGGAATTGAGAGGAATGATACGAAAGTGTTAAATACAACAGAGCTGATAAGCCCGCCTCCACCTCCAGCGAACCTAACCGATAGTCAGGATAGTGGAAAGCTACCGGCTAAAATGGCGCCGCCTCCAAAAAGTTTGGAGAGTGGGAAAAATGGGACGGAGCCAGGTAAGGAGAGTCCGCCTCTGGCTAAAGATCCTGATAAGGCCAAGGACGATAAGGGGAGCTCAGAGTCTGCCAGTGTAGAGACCTGTATAGGAAAGTCTAACATATGTAGAACTGAGAATTCATTGGTGGCTTGCACTTTGAGCATTGATAAAGGTATTTTTGCACCTTCTTTGTTGTGATGTTTTCTTTGATTTCGGTACTCTTGGTTTCAACGTTTACTCGAAATGATATCTCTTGCATGTGGCTTTCCTTTTTATTGAACAATGCAACAATATTAGTCATGTTAGCTTCTTGAATAAAAGCCATATAGTAGGTTCTGTTTGCTGCATAGAGATGTCCATGAAAATGGTTGGATAAGTTGTAAATAAATAATCGTTGGGGATGATGGCCTTTATGAAATTAGAGATCACACTAGGATATGTTTTACATTATTCAGAAGCCTGTTTGACATTTTTACGTTGTGTTAATTTGTAAATGATTGTGATCTCAATGACATGAAACTTTCCTAGACATTCTTATAGTTATTCCCCCACAATTTGTAAGGTCTCTGCTTTGTATGTTCTGTTTTATCCAGTTAATTGGATTTTTATTTTAAAGTTGTGTTTTATCATTGCAGGTTCTGCTAACTGGTTGATTCTAGTTCAAAATGATGGTGAAAAATCTCTAAAAGCAAAAATTGTACTTCCGGTTAACTCTTTACAAGAGCTGACACTGCCAAAACACCACAGTCAAAGGGTACGTCTTTCTATCTCCTTCCGAGTTGATTCCATTGATAAAAAGCGTTATCTTTGACATATTTATCTCTGGAAGTCTGATTTTTTTGTGATTATTAATGATTCAACGCAAACATTACTCTAGTTATTCCATGGTACTAAACTGAATCGATCTGTTTTCACTTGCACAGATAAACATATCCATTAGTGGAGACACAAACAAGATCATACTAGACGGTGGAAAAGGAGAGTGTGCGCTTCACATGTACCCATCAGAAGAAAACACCTTACCATTCCACTTTCCCTCATATGAAAAGCTAGTGACGCCCATTAACGGCGCCTATTTCTTAATTGTATCCGTCGTTATTTTTGGGGGAATTTGGGCATTCTGTCTGTGCCGGAAGAATCGCCGTGCAGGCACTGGAGTGCCTTACCGTGAGCTAGAATTGAGCGGAGGACCAGGCTTGGAAAACGAGTCAGTGGTCCATGACGTGGAGACAGCGGACTGGGACGAGGGTTGGGATGATGATTGGGATGAGAATAATGCTGTGAAATCGCCCGGTGGTGCAGCAAAGAGTGTGAGCATCTCAGCCAATGGCTTAACAGCGAGGGCTCCGAACCGAGATGGCTGGGATCATGACTGGGACGACTAGAGATTTTGTGTTATAATCAGTGGATACTATTACAGAAGAGTCAAAACCACTTGGATACAGTTTACTGCAAAGAAGACGTGACAGGAAAAAAAAAAAAAAAGGTTAATGTATACGCAATTTGCCTATATAAATATTTTTAAAAAAAATTTCTTTACCAAGTTGAAATGTCAAATTTTGTACTACAGTCTCCCAAAAGTCCAAAACCTGTGTTTGTTCCAAATTCTTAATCAGATTTTGTAACATTTTCATGCGAACGCATTTAGTTTTGTACTCTCATTTCCTTATCAAATTCTTTTGTAATACTTGTTGTACCAACACTTTTCCCTCGTTGTAGCAACATTTTGTATTTCTGTTTTTTAGTACTACAAATAATTAACTGATGGAAACTTCTTATTTCTACGGGGTTAACTTTAAGTTAATAATGGCTTTAAATAAATAAAAAATACTATATGAGTACAACTGTAAAAGTATATATTAAGCTCAATGTAACGAAAACCCAAGCATTCAAATCAATGATTCACACAAAAACTTAATACCCAAAGAACTTAAATTACCATTTAGGTGGGTACAAGCAAACAATCAATAAAGAAAAGAGTGATAGAGATAAATCCAACAGAAGAGTTTTTCTACCAAGTCCCACGTCTTGGAAATCTTCATTCTTTGGTTTCTTCTTTTATGTGCACTGGTGGTTCTTGGCTACTCATCTAGAGTTGATAATCTTATTCTTCCATTGTTCATAGATGTTTTTGGAAGTCACAACAAGTAAAACATACCCATTTCGAAGTTTTCGCACATGGGCGTGGTTGTGGTTGAGCTTCACGTGGGGTGATGATATTGATTTGAAATTCTGCATTGTCAGCTTTTTCAGGTGAAGCTTCAACCTCTGTGGTAACTGTCTCTTGGCTCTGTTCTGGACATGTTTTGACAACATGGGTGCATCTACTACTTGATCCATACGTCCAATCTTCTGACACTTTTACAGCACTTAGATTTTGTTCAGCTTCTTTCACTTCCAACTTCTTTAAATAATTTCCACTGCTCCCAGCACCTTCAAAAAACCTGCAACCGGATAAAAAATGGATTCTAAATTTCCTAAGATGGCTCTGAATAATGAAGGAACTCTCAAAAAATCAGAGAAAGAATTAAAGAACTAACCTTAAGCCGCACTTGAGCACTTCGATTCTCGGTATCTCACTCTTACCATCTATGACCATAAAATTAAGGGAGGCCTTAGTAGGACTACATTTACTAGATTGCGTGGATTTTGTAGGATTAGAGCTGCTAAAATGCTGGTTTTCAAGACGTTTAAAGATCTTTGAACAACTGATATACCCAATAAAGGCATGCTCTGATGCAATAGTCTCAACTATATTGTCCTGATTACTCCATCTTCCAACTGGGAATGAAAATTCGATCCACGACCCTTCTTTTACTTCTAGTTTGAATGTGCATTTCACCGAAAAACAGTTGATTTGTTCTTCAGATTTTGGAAACGAGACAACAGCACATAAAGCTACACTGGCAAGCCTATTTTCGTGCCAATGTGGAGGCATTCTGAGCTCTAATACAGGTCCAACAGCTTCATGACAGAACCATGAAGGTAGTTCACTTCCAGGAAAGCAAATACTGAACAAAGGCTCCGAATCAGAACCCTGCAAAGATATTCACAAGAAAATGCATATACACACGAATATTTATGAAATAGAGCAACATATACTGAAGGAGATCATGGAACTGACATTGCAGCGCTTTTGTGCATCTAAAAGTAGCTGACATTTCCTTTGAGCAAAGGAAGATATTTCTTCTTTTGCACTCCTTTCGAGTTTGTTGCAGTTAGAGAAAATGAATGTTGAATAAATCTGTTGAGTTGTAGTAAGGCATGCCAGTGGATTCGAGACTGTCTTAAGTGAGCAACAGCCGTGTGCATCTAAGTGTTGAAGATTTGGTGGAAGCTTTGGAATAGATGTAAGTCTCTTACAATACTTCAAGTCCAACCATTTTAGTTGAAAAAGTTGGCTGATGTTATCTGGAAGGGAGCTGATCTGATCATTCTTACTGAAGCATAAACATTGTAACGACGATATCATTGGAATCTCTGTTATGGTTGTAGCATCCAATCGTAATATCTCTAAAACCATAATGCTTTCGCGGATTGCAGGAAATTTTTGGAGCTTCGAACAATCTGAGAGTATCAATTCTTTAAGAGCTTTCAAGTCATCGAGACAATCCGGAAACTCCTTCAGCTTCGTGCATCCTTTCATATTCAATATAACAAGTCTCTGGAGTATATTGAAGTTCAAAGGAAGTTCTTTTATTGAAGTGCCATCCAAGTATAGAGTTTCTAGATTTTGTGAGATCACCCGGAATTCTTTAAGGTTTGAGCAGTTGCTGAGGATGAGAATTTCCAAAGAGACTAAATTTATCTCCGGAAGAGACTTGAGACTTGTGCACCCTTTTAGATTTAGGAAAACAAGACTTTGAGCCTTTGATAACCCCGACAAGTCCCACAAGTTACTTGAATGATTGAGATTGACCCACTTTAATTTTGGTGTATCCTGTGACAACACAAGTTTTAGCCACCAGTAGAAAAAACTATCCATGTTAATTTAGTCATATAGTCAAATGATAGGAGGAGGCACACCTTATCCTTATCATTACTCCAGATTCGTTCAATCTTGCTGTGGGGAAGCTTAAGGTCGACAAGATTTCGAGGGTTGAAATCTGGTGGAATTTCCTTCAATGGGAACTGTAGCCAGTGGAGATATCGGACCTCGTTCAGTGGGAAGTTTAGTCCATCAGGAAGGTTTATCTTATTGTTAGGTTTACATTGCTGAGGACAATGTGAGCTATAGATCTTGAGGTATCGGAGACCGTGCATCGGTTTGAAAGTGCAACTGTCTAAGCTCATCTCTCTCTTCATTTCATTCATGTTTAGGAAAATCCCTCTGACTTCTGCGCCTTCCTGGGAGACAAATCACAGTCGTCAAATCTATTATTCATGATATACAGTAAGTCTTGAAGAACTTTATAAAATATATGAAAAGGTTTCTTGTTTTTAAGGCTCACCTCTATGTTCTTTAGCACATCCGTTATGTCTTGGTGGTGCCACAACCTATGTGGCCCCCTTCTATCTTGAGTGTATGCTCTTCGGCAAAGTTCCCTGGCGAAAGTATATAGCAAATCATGCATCTCTACTCGGTCCTCAGAAACATTAATCATGAATTTATTCATGAGAGCTTTTATTTCACTTGCAGCTTCAGATGAATCCAGTAGACTAGCAATGTAACTCTCATCTTCCGATCTAAAACAAGCTATGTCGAGAAATATATCTTTATGCTCTTGACTCAGCTCATCATAACTTACTTGTAACACATCTCGAATACTCTGGCTGGAATTTTCTGCAAGTGTAGCCAATTTTGTTTTCCAATGGTCCTCGTCTTTCCCATTAAGATCTGCCCCCAACAACTTTAGAACAAGTGGATGACCTCTACCATAATGCACAAACTCTTTTGATAGCTTCATGATGACTTCATTGTTGTGTATGTTGGAATGATGATCGAAGGCATAACGCCCAAAGTGGCCTAAGCCGTCTTTGTGGTTCAACTGTGGGACAACATAAGTATAGTCAGCCACATCTTGGATTAGTGATTTGTCGCTTGTTGCAATGACAATCCTACTTCCCTGCCTAATCCAGTCGCATCTCCCCAGAAGAACATCTATCTGTTCCTTGTCACTCACATCGTCGAGAACAACAAGAACTTTATGCGTATATAGTTCCATCTTGTAAGATTCATATGCACATCGAGTAGATTCTATGTCTGGAATTCTCACACCGAGTAACTCTTCCAAGAGTAATGCAGGCAAGCAATCCAACCCGAGCTCCTTCGATGTTCTACGAATATCTTGGATTAACCCATGCCTTAAGAACTTGCACCGCAAAGATTCATATATCTCCCTTGCAAGAGTAGTTTTACCAATACCGGGCATCCCAACAACTCCCAAAATCCGAGTCTCCTCACAATCAAGATCTAGCTTCTCCTTCAATTCTTCTAACCGTTGTTTGAGTCCATAAATCTCATGCTTTTCTCTTCCTAAGGACATTGAAGTGTTTTTCGAATGATAGAAGAAAGCATCTTTGGTTTTGTCCAACAAAATTTTGCTCAGCGCTTCTTTAACCTCTTCAACAATACCATTGATGAAGTTGTTCTCGTCGCTACAAAAGTGAGTAAGAAAAAAAGCCAAGCGGAGATCCTAATTGTGAAGGTCAAACTCTAACAAAGTATTAAACTTGTGCTCTAGATAAACTATATTAGGAAATTTAAAAGATGATACCTCTTTCCATCGAAGGGGAAGCCGATCCGGTCTGCAACAGAGCTCAAAGCTTCAGACCACTGGTTTTTCTGGTGAACATCAGCATTGCGCAAATTTTTGAATACATAACCGAACCGTCCCTTCTGATACCGAACTTCGTATGCTTTAACCTTGTAGAAGATGGGAATGATGAGGAGTTTTCCCTTGTCCATGCATTCCTTCATCTTCACCAGCTCGTTCAAGCACCATTTCGACTCGGTGTACCTAAGAGAAAAAATGGCCAAAGCGATCCTCGACTCTTCAATCCTCTCGAAAAAGACATGTAAAGGTTTACCTTTCTGCTCATTCGTGTCTATGAAGATGTTGACCCCATGCCTAACCAATGCACTTCTGAGATGGCTAACGAAGCTGTTCCGCAGCTCTTCTCCTCTGAAATTGACAAACACTTGATGCTGCGGTGGCAAGGGAAGTGCTTTGACCTGGGAAGAAGAGGCCTCCTCCATCGGAGTTTGTTAGGAAACAAATCGTTCTTGTGTTTCCTTTTGAGATACAAGACAGACGACATGCTTGCACAAACAACCTAAAAGATCCTCTTGACCAGTTCTACTTCTCTAAGAAAGCTACAAATTTAACAAACTATAACTTGTCTATCACCCTTGTATTATTTTAAGTTGAAGTTGAGGTTTGTGCAAAGATAAAGTATTGTTTGCTAAGTTGGCTTGTGACTTCTTCCAATGCATTATGAAAAAGACCAATTATGATGAAATTATGCAAAAAGAAAAACCGAAACTTCCGAGAAGAACTCGATCAAACAACACAATTCCAAGAAATTTGTAAGAAAAAGTAGGTCAACACTCTACTCGGAACGACTTCTTCATGGTGAGGCACGTCTCTTACGAATTCACTAATCTAGAATTGATCTAGTCTAAATGAAAAAAAACCCAAATCAAAAAATCCCCTGAATGTAGGTAAGGTGCAAGAAAAACCGAGAGGTTGTTTCCGTTACCTTAATTATGGTGGATTGCAGCGATGTTTACATCAGCTTCGATAGAAGAGAGGATACGGTACGGTACTCTTTTGTCAGCCACCTCTCCGCCGCTTTCCACCGCAGAGGAGTATCTTCGTTCACCGGAGAACACGGCTCCGATTCGGAAACCAATGGATTCTCCAAGTTGGAGAAGTCTAGGGCTTCTGTAGTCGTTTTCTCTGAGAAATACCCGTCATCTAAGTCATGCATGGAGGAGCTGCTCAAGGTTTCCGAACACCGGAGAAAAAATTGTCTCGCGGTGGTTCCGGTGTTTTACCCAGTCACGAAATCGTTTGTGAAGAAACAAATCTGCAATTTGGCCGATGTTAGAAGCGATTGGCGAACTGCTCTATTGGAAACTGTAGACTTACCAGGCCACGAGTTATACGATACGCAAAGGTTTGAACTTTGAAGCATTTAAAACATTTCTAAGTATTCCAATTTTAAATATTTTACTCATTCTCTACAAAAATATATATGCAGTGACTCTGACTTTGTGGTGGAGATTGTGGCTGATGTGCGTGAGAAGCTCAACATGACAGACAATATTGGAATCTACTCAAAGTTGGGCAAGATAGAAACATTGATTTACAAGCAACCATGGGGTGTCCGCAGCATAGGAATATGGGGAATGCCCGGCATAGGCAAGACGACTCTTGCTAAAGCTGCTTTTGACCAACTCTCTGGTGACTATGAGGCTTCTTGTTTCATCAGAGACTTTCACAAGGCGTTTCATGAGAAGGGACTTTATGGTTTGTTAGAGGTACATTTTGGGAAAATTCTTAGGGAAGAGCTTGGCATAAACAGTTCCATTACAAGACCGATCCTCCTTACAAATGTTTTACGCCATAAAAGAGTTCTTGTTGTTCTTGATGATGTGTGCAAGCCTCTAGATGCAGAGTCGTTTCTTGGAGGGTTTGATTGGTTTTGTCCGGGAAGTTTGATCATCATAACTTCAAGAGATAAACAAGTGTTTTCTCTATGTCGGGTCAATCAGATATATGAGGTTCCAGGTTTAAATGAGGAAGAGGCTCTACAGCTATTCTCGCGGTGTGCATTTGGAAAGGACATTAGAAATGAGACTCTTCAGAAACTATCAATGAAAGTGATTAACTATGCTAATGGAAATCCTTTAGTTCTGACTTTTTTTGGATGTATGTCAAGGGAGAATCCTAGACTTAGAGAGATGACATTCCTCAAACTCAAGAAATATCTGGCACATGAGATTCATGATGCAGTCAAGAGCACATATGATTCGCTCAGTTCCAACGAGAAGAACATATTTCTTGATATTGCGTGTCTTTTCAGAGGAGAAAATGTCGATTGTGTGATGCATCTGCTTGAGGGATGTGGTTTCTTTTCACGTGTTGAAATCAATGTTCTTGTTGAGAAGTGTTTGGTGAGTATCGCAGAAGGCAGGGTGGTGATGCATAATTTGATCCAATCCATAGGTCACGAAATTATCAATGGAGGAAAGAGGCGTTCCAGACTGTGGAAACCTTCAAGAATTAAGTATTTTCTAGAAGATACACAAGTTTTGGTCTGTTGAATTCTGTTATTTTCCCACAAAGCTTAATATTAGAATTTGAGTTAAGTTCTTGATCCATCTATTTCCCTTGTTGTTTCAGGGTAGCGAAGATATTGAAGCCATATATCTGGACCCATCTGCCTTAAGCTTTGATGTCAATCCTCTGGCGTTTGAGAATATGTATAATCTTAGATATCTGAAGATTTTCAGTTCCAATCCTGGAAACCATTCTGCTCTACACCTTCCCAAAGGCGTCAAATCTCTACCGGAGGAGTTAAGGTTACTGCACTGGGAACAATTTCCATTGTTATCCTTACCACAAGATTTCAACACTAGAAATCTTGTTATACTCAACATGTGTTACAGTAAAATTCAGAGACTTTGGGAAGGAACCAAGGTAAGAAAAGTTCTATATGCCTTTGAAAACCAATTACTCTTGCGTCTCTGTTGTTATTTTCTTAACAATTTGTTTTTCCAGGAACTTGGGATGCTGAAAAGGATCATGCTTTGTCATTCACAACAACTAGTTGATATTCAAGAACTCCAAAATGCTCGAAATATCGAGGTAATTGATCTCCAAGGTTGTGCAAGACTACAAAGATTTATAGCAACAGGTCATTTCCAGCATCTTCGGGTGATAAATCTATCTGGTTGCATAAAGATCAAAAGTTTCCCAGAGGTTCCACCTAATATTGAGGAGCTGTATCTCAAACAAACTGGCTTAAGATCAATACCAACTGTGATCTTCTCTCCACAAGATAACTCATTTATTTATGATCATCAAGATCACAAGTTCTTGAACCGGGAGGTCTCGTCTGAATCGCAAAGTCTGTCAATCATGGTTTATCTAAAATACCTCAAAGTTCTTGATCTTTCTCATTGCTTAGGGCTTGAGGATATTCACGGTATACCAAAAAACCTGAGAAAGTTATATCTTGGTGGCACCGCCATACAAGAACTGCCTTCTCTCATGCATCTTTCTGAACTGGTTGTATTAGATTTGGAGAACTGCAAACGCCTTGAAAAGTTACCAATGGGAATAGGTAACTTGAGTTCTCTTGCGGTGCTTAATCTCTCTGGATGCTCAGAGCTTGAGGATATTCAAGGTATCCCAAGAAACTTGGAAGAGTTATATCTTGCTGGCACCGCTATACAGGAAGTGCCATCGTCAATCAAGCATCTCTCAGAACTTGTAGTTTTAGATTTACAGAACTGCAAAAGGCTTCGACATCTTCCGATGGAGATTGGTAACTTAAAATCTCTTGTCACACTTAAGCTAACGGATCCATCTGGGATGTCCATAAGAGAAGTATCCACATCAATTATCCAGAATGGTATATCAGAAATTAACATCAGTAATTTGAATTATCTTCTCTTCACTGTCAATGAGAATGCAGATCAGCGTAGAGAACATTTGCCTCAACCAAGGCTTCCATCTTCAAGTTTACATGGCTTGGTCCCAAGATTTTATGCCCTAGTATCTTTATCCCTCTTCAATGCATCCTTGATGCATATACCGGAAGAGATTTGTTCCTTGCCTTCAGTAGTGCTGTTGGATCTTGGTCGGAATGGTTTCAGCAAAATCCCTGAAAGCATAAAGCAGTTATCTAAACTACATAGCCTTAGATTAAGACATTGTAGAAACCTCATATCGCTTCCGGTGCTTCCCCAAAGCCTGAAACTCTTGAACGTGCATGGTTGTGTGTCTCTAGAGTCAGTTTCTTGGGGATTTGAGCAGTTTCCTAGTCATTACACCTTCAGCGATTGCTTCAATAGGTCTCCAAAAGTGGCTAGAAAACGAGTTGTAAAAGGCCTGGCTAAAGTAGCAAGCATTGGCAACGAACGTCAGCAGGTATCTCTCTCGTTCTCATTCCTTCTCTCTCACTCATGCATTCTCTAGCATATATCTAACTTTTGATTTTTCCTTTTCCTTGTTGGGACCAGGAACTCATCAAAGCACTTGCATTCAGCATTTGCGGTGCGGGAGCAGATCAGACATCCTCTTATAATTTGCGGGCAGGTCCATTTGCAACGATAGAGATAACTCCTTCCCTGCGGAAGACACTCTTGGGGTTTGCTATCTTCATTGTAGTTACGTTTTCGGATGATAGTCACAACAACGCTGGTCTTGGCGTTAGGTGCGTAAGCAGATGGAAGACTAAGAAAAGGGTCTCTCATAGAGCAGAGAAAGTTTTTAGGTGTTGGGCTCCGAGAGAGGCTCCTGAGGTTCAAAGGGATCACATGTTTGTGTTTTATGAGGATGCCGAAACGCATCGAGGTGGTGGTGAGGGAAACAAACCAAATCTAAGTTCTAATCACGTTGAATTTGAATTCCAAGCAGTAAATGGGAGAAACAAGGTCTTAGGAAGTAATTGCATGGTGACAGAATGTGATGTTTGTGTTATAACAGCTGCAACTGGTGCGACGAGTCTCAGTGTAACAAATGCTAGTAAGGACATGAGTTTAAGTAAGAATCATTCTCCAAAGCTTTCAAGTGTGCTTGCTAAGCTTCAATTTAAGCGCCCTGGGAGGTTCGGTGGTTGTGTTTGCCTAGAGTGAATAAAAGTTAAGAGTGGGAAGAGTATATGTGACTCGTCTCATGCGTGCCCAAATGCAAAGTAGCTGAAAAATGAAGTATGTTTGAAAATGTAATTTGTGTTATTTAAAATTTCCATAAACTAACATAAAAATGTGTTATCTGAAAGAGAATTAATGATATGTTCATGTGAATATGTAATGTAATGGTTTAAAGGATCTTTTTTCTAATTTTGAAAGACACAACAGAGAAAACAAACTCTGTTTTGAAAAAAGAAGGTGTAGACTGTAGACTAAAAAATTGGTGGTGTTTCGTCCTTAACCACGGTTAACCCATACCGTCTTGTGCCAAAATTCATATGGCATTGGCATGCATAAGATCTTACTTAACCATTGCAGAAACTTCCTTGCTAAAAGTAATCGCCGATTTACCAAAGTTTAAAAATGAATATCTTAATGCTTCTGAGTGAGTATATTTGTTGTATTCAAGGTTACTCGTAGACATGATCGATCAAAAGGGAGGCTAAGCCGATTCTCATAAACATATGTGCACGTTGAACCGTGATGGCTGGGATCATGACTGGGACGACTAGAGAGTTACAATGTTTATATCAAAGGATGGATAACCATTACAGAAGAATGAAAACCACTTGGATACAGCTGTGTCAAGGATGGAACCCCGGCACGAAAAGTGTCAAGAAAAAAAAATCGGGCCTTGTGGCCTAGTGGTAAAGGGGCCTAGTGAAAAAAAAAACAGTTGTGACTTCCGCCACCAGGGTTCGAGGCACGGCCACTGGCAGGTTTACATAGGGGAATTGCCAGCCTCGTGGGATTAGTCTTTGGGCCTAGGAAGCCTTTGGGAGACCTGCGGTTATTCAATAAAAAAGAAAAACCACTTGGATACATATACCTGCAAAGAAGACAAGACAGAAAAAAAAGAAAAAAAAAAAGAGAGAGATTAATGTATACGCCAGTGGGCCTATATAAATTGTAGAATCCTTAATTCTAAGGATTATGTTTTGAATTATGAATTAATTATGTCATTTTATTAATTGCGAATTTGATATATTTATTCTTGAAAAGCCTTGATAATGTGGGAATTTGACTTTCATTTTTATGTGTGTTTTAATTTTCTAACGTTCTTGTGCAAGTTGTATTTGCTCTTATTTCCTTGTGAGAAAAGGAAAAAAATACTACAGGTAAATGACAAGATACGTTGATGGTAAATAAAAGGGAGAAGACGCTTCTTCTCAAAACACATTTGCTACACTGTTAAAACAGAGAAACAGAAAATAGAGTTGATTATTCAAGTGTTGTGTGGCTGTTTAGTTTGAGAGAGATAACCTTGGGAAGAGGTTGCTGCCGCTGTGAGGAGCACGGAGCAAGGACTTCAGCAAGAAGAAGACATCCATGATTAAGGGGAAGTAAATGTTTTACTCATGATATCTTAGATCATGTTTTAGATAGATGTGTTAAAACTTGTGTAGAAGTTTTATTTCTATCTTGTATTGTCTTTTTAAAGTTATCTAATAAACTTGTTTGCAGCCGAGGACTAGTGGTTGGTTTGAAAGAGAACCAATCGATACCTCGTTAAATCTCGTGTCGTCTCATTATTGTTTTATTGTTTAAATCGTTTCCATTATTTATTTATTATATTTAGTCTCAAGAAATTTTACATAGTTTCCCAACCAAATTTTGGCCTATATAAAACCTGTGTTTTGTTTCCAAATTTTTAATTTCAAATATTGTATCATGCATACGAACACAATTATTAGTTGTGTACTTTCCATTCCTTTTTCAGTGTTAACAGTCTCTTGGAAAATTCTCTGTACCAACACGTATTCATATACAATTCACATCAAGAGGATTATTTACATTATATATGTCTCTACCTCTATATCAGTACAATTATCAATTATTATTATTGTGTCTCTCTAAATCAGTACAGGTAAAATTAGATAGACAAGGCCCACTTCTATATGGGCCATATGAGATCAACCGAAAGAAAAGCCCATGATCACGTAAACTAATCTAACTAACAAACGAGTTACTATCAAAACGGGCCCCGCTCTTTTCCCTTTTATAGTATATACAATTGCCAGCTCAGCCACGTGCAGTGACCCACCGCACACAAAAATACGCGTTTTATAAAAATTATCTTGTCTTTCTTTTAATGGATTTGTTTACACTCACATTTTATGAACTGTCATCCAAACCATACCAATCAACATTATCCTTGGAATGGTCGGGACATGTAATTCCAGCTGTTGTTATTCAAATCAAAGGTCATTATCGTCACTTCACCCACCTTCAAGCCGGCTTCAATTAATTAATCTACTAATTTAAATTAAAATAACGTTAACGCGTAGAGGGAGGCAACAATCCTGTCCGTTTTGTCGTCTTTAACTATACTTACCTCTCCACTCATTAATTGTTCTCTCTCTCTTCCCCCAAAAAAATATCTCTGTCTTCTCCAAAAACTCTCTCCGATTTCATCGCTTAGGGTTTCTTCGCCGATTCTTCAGGTATGTTAATCATCATCTTCTTCTTCTTCACTTCACTCTCTTTACTTCTGTATTCAAACTTCAATCTCATCTGTTTCTCTATAGCTTAATTTCGTTATCAAATGATCATCGTTTCTTAAGCTCTTTCCATTTTTAGATCTGCTAAGTTTTATAGTTTTGATTTTGTTCTTTGGATAGATCTGAGAAGAAGAGCTTCCCGGAGACTGTTCTTGATCGATGAAGATCACGGAGGGACAATTCCGTCTCTCTCTTCTTCTTCTCTTATCTGCAGCAACTTTAATCTCAGCTGCTGATTACTCTCCAACAGAGAAAATCTTATTGAATTGCGGTGGTGCTTCTGATCTCGTTGACACAGATAACCGTACATGGATCTCCGATGTCAAATCAAAATTCTTATCTTCTTCATCATCAGACTCCAAAACATCACCAGCGTTAACACAAGATCCTTCCGTTCCCGAAGTTCCTTACATGACGGCTAGAGTTTTCCGATCTCCTTTCACTTACACTTTCCCTGTAGCATCAGGTCGTAAATTCGTGCGTCTCTACTTCTATCCAAACTCATACGACGGTCTCAATGCTACGAACTCGTTGTTCTCCGTCTCCTTTGGTCCTTACACTCTTCTCAAGAACTTTAGCGCTGCTCAGACGGCGGAGGCGTTGACTTACGCTTTCATCATCAAGGAGTTTGTTGTGAATGTTGAAGGTGGAACATTGAACATGACGTTTACACCGGAATCAACTCCGTCTAATGCGTATGCGTTTGTTAATGGGATTGAGGTTACTTCAATGCCTGATATTTATAGTAGTACTGATGGGACTTTGACCATGGTGGGATCATCTACTTCTATTACTATTGACAACAGTACTGCTCTTGAGAATGTTTATAGGCTTAATGTTGGAGGGAATGATATCTCGCCTTCCGCCGATACGGGTTTGTATAGGTCGTGGTATGATGATCAGCCTTATATATTTGGTGCAGGACTTGGGATTCCAGAGACTGCTGATCCTAACATGACCATTAAGTATCCTACGGGGACTCCTACTTATGTTGCTCCTGTCGATGTTTATTCAACCGCTAGGTCGATGGGTCCAACAGCTCAAATCAATCTCAACTACAACCTTACTTGGATTTTCAGCATTGACTCGGGGTTTACTTACCTTGTTAGGCTTCATTTCTGTGAGGTTTCTTCCAACATCACTAAGATCAACCAACGGGTGTTTACAATCTATCTCAACAATCAAACTGCTGAGCCTGAAGCTGATATTATTGCTTGGACTAGTTCAAACGGGGTTCCGTTTCACAAAGATTACGTGGTGAATCCTCCAGAGGGAAATGGACAGCAAGATATGTGGCTTGCTCTTCATCCTAACCCGATTAACAAGCCGGAGTATTATGATTCTATTCTTAATGGAGTAGAGATATTCAAGATGAATACATCTGATGGTAATTTGGCAGGTCCCAATCCTATACCTGGTCCACAGGTGACTGCAGATCCATCCAAAGTTCTAAGCCCAACTTCTGGGAAATCAAAAAGCAATACGGCTATCGTTGCAGGCGCAGCCAGTGGTGCGGTTGTTCTGGCCCTTATCATCGGTTTCTGTGTGTTTGGTGCTTACCGCAGACGTAAGCGTGGTGATTACCAGCCTGCAAGTGATGCAACATCAGGGTGGCTTCCACTTTCTCTGTATGGAAATTCACATTCTGCTGGCTCGGCCAAGACCAACACAACAGGAAGTTATGCCTCTTCCCTTCCGTCAAATCTTTGCCGTCACTTTTCGTTTGCTGAGATTAAAGCAGCCACTAAAAACTTTGATGAGTCCCGGGTGCTTGGTGTTGGAGGTTTCGGCAAGGTTTACAGAGGAGAAATTGATGGTGGAACTACAAAGGTAGCCATCAAGCGAGGAAACCCAATGTCTGAGCAAGGTGTGCACGAGTTCCAGACTGAGATTGAAATGCTTTCAAAGCTTAGACACCGTCACCTTGTGTCCTTGATTGGATACTGTGAAGAGAACTGTGAAATGATCTTAGTGTATGATTACATGGCTCATGGTACAATGAGGGAGCATCTCTACAAAACCCAGAATCCTTCTCTTCCGTGGAAGCAACGTCTTGAGATATGCATAGGGGCAGCCCGGGGCTTGCATTATCTACACACTGGTGCAAAACACACAATCATCCACAGAGATGTGAAGACAACAAACATTCTATTGGATGAGAAATGGGTGGCCAAGGTCTCTGATTTCGGGCTCTCAAAGACTGGTCCTACACTAGACCACACACACGTAAGCACGGTCGTGAAAGGAAGTTTCGGTTATCTTGACCCAGAGTATTTCAGACGGCAGCAACTGACTGAGAAATCCGATGTCTACTCCTTTGGCGTCGTTCTATTCGAAGCCCTATGCGCACGGCCAGCCTTGAACCCAACACTTGCAAAGGAACAAGTGAGCTTAGCTGAGTGGGCACCATACTGCTACAAGAAAGGCATGCTTGATCAAATAGTCGATCCCTATCTCAAGGGAAAGATCACACCTGAGTGCTTCAAAAAGTTTGCTGAAACCGCGATGAAGTGTGTACTAGACCAGGGCATTGAGAGACCATCAATGGGAGATGTTCTGTGGAACTTAGAATTTGCGTTGCAGCTCCAGGAAAGCGCAGAGGAGAGCGGAAAAGGAGTGTGTGGTGACATGGACATGGATGAGATTAAGTACGATGATGGCAACTGTAAAGGAAAGAACGACAAGAGTTCTGATGTGTATGAAGGGAATGTGACGGACTCGAGGAGCAGTGGAATAGACATGAGCATCGGTGGTCGGAGTTTGGCCAGCGAAGATTCAGATGGACTCACTCCAAGTGCTGTGTTTTCTCAGATCATGAATCCAAAGGGACGTTAGAGAGTCTTAAAACACGGTACACTACTACCTACCTTTCTAAACCGGCTCCATCCAAAGGAGACGGGTTCGTTTCTCCTTTTTATATTTTTTCTCTTAACTATTTATTATTATTCCCTTTGCTGTTATTTATTTAGAATTTTGGATTGTGTATTTGATACTACCACGATGGAGAGTGTAAAAAATAATGTATTTTTTTTTTTTTCTTCTTTCTACAAAACATTAAACATGAATCGCGTCAATGTACTCTTTCGTTTGTTATCTATAACGCTTTTGGTAATGGATGTATCGTTCGTTACTAACTATTACAAGTCGAACTCTTATGAACATCATAAACATGTGTGAAATATATTGCGACACAAATTGTAAACGAGTAAGAATAAGAATAATCTTTTTTTTTTTTTTTTTTTTGAACAAAGTTAGAATTAGAATAATCATGAGCTCAAAACTACAAGAGTATACACCTTATAACGGAATCCTACAATGGTGTATACTCTTGCAAATATTTTGATTTATAAACAGGAAGGGTCTAACAAAAAGCTCAAAGCTGTATATTTCTGATGATCAATACAAGCAAACACTTTGAAAAGAAAAAAAAAACGAGTAGAAGAACTCCTATTTTTATAGTTTTTCTCTTGATTGCATAAAAATTTAAAAAGAGTGAAACATGAATATTTTTCCAAGCAGCTCTCTTGTAAACTATAACAAACAGGAAAATAAAAGTCAGAGAGGAGGGAATAGATCAGGAGGAGATTCGAAAGCATTGTCGAAGATGAGAGATTGATGAGATTCATCATCAATGTTAAGCAGCCAGTTTGTATCCTTGACATCTTTAACATTCAAGAGTGCGTCGTAACGAGCACTATCTTTCTTATTCTCCGTGTTAGCTCCTTCTTTCGTTAAGTTTCTTCCATCTTCCTCTTCATGGTTGCTGCTGCTGCAGCTGCCTTCACTACTACCACACGGCTTTCTTAGACCCGAAGAAGAAGATCTGATGCTGTGTGGATACAACATAGTGCTTGAAAACGTATGTGTACTAACTTTACCATTTCGTGCCACGTCCTGCATTTGAAGTGACATTATTATCGTCAAGCAAAACCTAATAAATAACTTACTATTTAACTGACCATTGTAGACGTTTTAAATGACAAAAATATTCAGCTCTGTTTACCAAGTGATTGATAGCCATTTGAACCGAAGCTCTAGACAATTTTCTTCCTGGCCTAGTTGAATCCACAACAATGGCAGATGGCTTTACAGATTTGGGAGTTACTGTTGTATGCGAGACGCCTGAAAAAGTCGGAATCCGAGAAGGAGAAGCAGAGCGCCCTTTAGGCCTCGTTCTTGTAACATCCGGTGAGGTGTTTCGTTTTGGCGAATTAACATTCCCCACTGGTCTACCGAATGCTAGAGTGACCGTTTCTTTTAGTCTTGGTGGTGTCCGAGGTGTTGCTGAAACAGATGAAGAACGAACATTGGTCTTACTTGAATTTGCTGCAATCTGAGGCTTTGATCTTGGAGTCAACGATCTTGATCGTTGAGCGTCTCCAGCTTTATTGAAGGAAGGATTTGTTGAAGTAGTTGTACTGATTCTTGAAGGAGTTGAGGATGGTGATGGTGTTTTGCGTGATAAGGGAGTTAAAGATCGTGAGACATTTCGTTTTGGAGAAGAAGCTGAAGCTGAAGCTGAAATTGTTGTTGTTGTTGTCTTCTTGGGGACCGAAGAGGATCTGATGGTGGGAATGTTGGAGGGACGAATTGTTGAACCGCTTCTCGTTGGTCTTGAAGATGGATCACTCTCGCTCTGCGCGAAAAAAAAAATATATATTACATGAGCATACATGAAATTATATCGAGCTTGTTGCATCATACCCTTAAAGCAGCCCTTTTAGTGGTTATGGACTGAAGCTTGGAAGTTGTGTTTCTAGCTTCTAGAACCAATCTAGAAAGATCTCCTAATGGAACTTCTGCTATGGTATAAAGCCTAAGGAACAAAAACATTATATATGTTATAACTTGTATTCATTGTCTATTTCAGGAATATATATTATTGCGTATAAATTCAAATGAGGGATTACATAAATTCTTACGGTTCATTTGCATGTATCTTGTGATTCTTGTCATCTTCAGGGCCATGCTTAGCAACTTTAGCTTGTTGGAAAGAATGTCTTCCTGGTTTAATCAAAACTGCATACCAAATAGAACATTCTACATCACATTAATATGGATGACTTATTGGAAGACGGATTATTGTATACAAAGAATTGGCAAAAAACTAGCAAATTGAAATGAGAATAGCATCAAAGCGGTCTTAATAGTTATTTTCTCTTGAATACATGAACAATTTCAATGTGTGTTGGTGTAGAAAAGCAAAAGACAAGTCAATGGTCCAAATAATAGATGATGATGGTACCATCTAAAGAAGTTCCACGGTTGACTGAGAAGAGATCCAAATTCTCATCGGCCGGGCGGTTGCTTTTTCCGGCAAGAGACTTTTTCAGACTCCGATCACTCATCGACGGTTAAAAAACACACGATCAAAGAAGATAGAAACAAAACAGAATTCAGATAAAGACAAAAGAGAGATAGAGAATGTTTCAAAAATTGTTAAAAATAAAAAGAGTTGACAAAGAAAAATAAAAAAAAGATGTGAGAAAGTGAGTGGTGGGAAAAGGTGGTTGGAGGTAGTTAAAGGAAGTCTCTCTCTCAGCTTCAACAAAGGCATTTTCCATTCCCGTGTGGTTTTAGTTTTCATGTCGTTTTCTTCCAATTTTTTAAAGCACGAGAGAGAAGATGATGTGAACATAGAAACTCAATTTGAGCTGATTATCTTATGACGTATAAATAAATAGACGTGTCACAATATGATGCACGGATTTAGATTACTTATCTAATTGTGTTACATTTATTTTGTAATTTTAGTTCTATTTATTCGGCCAAATTCTGTTTTTCTATCCACTTTTCATTTTTAGGATCATTTTTAGTTTTAATTTGAATTATGTCATAGAGAATATATAAAAATATATTCAAATACTCTTTAATTAATAAGGGAGAATTTCAAAAATACAGTAATACTAGATTTGAACCCGCGGTGTAATAATTTTTTTTTAAAAAATCTAAATATAATTAGTTTTGTTTATTAATAGAGAGTATAATATAATATTTCGACCTATTTTATAAATGTACCGTCCATATATCTATATTAATAGTTTTGAGTATATTAATTGTGTTTTAGGTTTAAATGGTATCTACATATACATTTTTACAGGGTTTTTTTGTATTAATTCATTTGGATCCGGGTTTTACCCGGGTTTAATTCTATCCGGATCTTGGATAAGAAATTTTAGGAATGTTGTAATAAAAAAAATCGCCATTTATGACTACAATTACTCTTATATTTCGGTTTAATCTTATTTCCTAATCTAATTTTTTCTCATATCTTTAAAAAAATCGTGGTATTGAAATATTATCTTAACATTGTCGATTTTATTATGGAAATTTAACTAATTACTATTAAATATTTTTGTTTCCTTATCTAGAATTTGATTTTGTTATGATATTATACGATATGGATACTATTTATTAATTATAAAACAATTCGTTTTTCCTTAATTATGATGCATAATATTCATACAATCTTATCTATCCAAACTAATTACTACCTTTAAACACTAATTTCATGGCATATTCCTTTACATTAAACGATTACATATATTTTATTCCAATTTTGTTATGATTTCAAAGATACTATGCTTGGTCACCAAGATCTTTGTGACCTAACTTAAACCACTATAAATACTCGAGCTATTGGCCTCTTCTCACATCGTCGAACTCCAAAACAACGTTTTCCTAGCAAAAGAAACTTTCATCTCCCAATGGAAGCTTCATTTGCATTCCTCCAAGGTCTAAACCTATCAAGATATTACGTCATTAGGATGGTTATGAGACAAAGAAATCATTTCGATCTGGTATTGTGGTTGTTGTGTGGGCATTTACAGCTATATGTTTCTTCATAGCATTACCTACACACTCTTGGCTATGGCTCATCTCGATCTTCAAGTAAGTTGCTGCGCAGAGCATTAAATCTATTCTTTTAACTGTAATCTAAACAGTGTTGATGATAATGTTTTATGTGTTCATTGTTATAGCTCAATTCAGGTCGTCATGAGTCATGACAAGCGTCAGAACGGTTCCAAACCTTAATTTTTTTTCATAATTGATTGACTCTGCATTATTCAGATTCATGTGTTTTCTTTTCTTCACAGACAAAGATGAAGTTCACTAGAAAGAGCACAGTCGGATGGAGCAACGGGAATATTCTTCTCGACTTTGCTGGAGGACTTGCTAATAATCTACAAATGGTTATACAATGACGGCAACACAATCGAAAGTTGGGTGAGGATCGTCACCGAGGATGGAGGAGGGCCAAGGAGTGGAGGAGAAGATGTGGTGGAGGAAGTCATCGTGGTCGAATGTTGCTAGATAATGGAGATGTGGAGAAGAAGATGATGGAGTAAAAGAGAAGAGTTCATGGCTTGTGATATTTTTAATATTTTTTGGGGAGTCAGAATGAAAATGAAAATGAATGTTGATCAAATATTTTGAGGTTTAAGGTTTTATCGTGTTTACACTTTTACCAATATTATCATTTTTTCAAATTAATTTTTGGTGTTATTTTCAATTCTTGATTCTTTTAATCACCAAAAGAATCCGAACATTGAAGTCACGATTTCTTCGATTTTGTAATTCTTTATTGATAATATATTTTTCACAATTTTGTAGTAACTACAAAAAGTAAGTAAAACATATAGTTCTATAAATAATATATGAAAGATTTTTTTAGATTGTCAAATTTGTTTCTATATAAAAAGATAATAAATCTACAAATAATCTCGAATATACATCTAGCAAATAGAAACTAATTATTTTTAATCATTTATTGGTAATATTTTCAATATATTAATAGTTATTTCTATATAGAAATATTACAAATATTATTATATATTTAATGCTAACATAATTCAATGAAATATTCAAATAATCCTTATCTATATGTATACATTTTTGGAGAATATTCAATGAAAAAATAAACATAAATGTGATCGATTTCTTTCCTATAAAATTGGTAATCTCTATCATATTACTAGCATAATACATAGCTAATTTATATTTTTCCTAAATCATTTCCAAATATATTATATTATGAATATATTTTTAATTATACTTGCTTAGCAAGAAGTTTTCTACTCACTCAAAGAAAACACTACAATTACGGAACTAATCATACATTAAAAAAAAAACAAAAAACAAATAGGAAACTTCCAAATAACTCTATTGACGGGATTGGATCGATATTAATACAGGATGATATACTACGGGTGAAATCCTAGAATTAACAATCAAAATACAATTATACAATCTGAAACACTAAACAAAATAAACAATATTAACAAAACAAATACAACTTAAAATTTCAAAATTTTAGTTATAAAATATCGTTTGTGATGTACTATACATTTAAATCAAACAAAACAATAGCATATATTTATAGATCATCCTAAAAAAAATTTTTGTTTTAAAAAAATATAGGCCCACGGTGTACGGCGTATCAATATATACATTTAAATTAACAAAAAAATTCATATATGTCAAATAAAATATTTAAATTAATAATTTAAAAAACATCAAATAATATTTAGGCCCGCGGTGTACCGCGGGTTAACATCTAGTATCTATATATACACTTAAACGACATTTGGCTTTCTTCTTCTTCTTGTCTCAGTTTAGGAAAAAAAATTTTTTTGCGGTACACCGCGGAGCTATTATTTTTTAAAAAATATTTTTCTTCCTTAAACTTCCAAATTTAGATTTTACCCCAGTCATACTATATGAGAAATGAATTTCAATTAAAAATCTTTATTTAAATAAAAAAATCTAAAGAATTAATGCTAATGGCATGTCATTGTAAATACTTCTCAAATTCAGGATTTATTTGCTAATTGTGATCCAAAAATGTATATATAGATTTATGATACTATTTTCAAAAAAACCCAAAAAAAAACAGAGAATTTCAAAACCAACCGGAACGAAACCGGCATTGTTGGCTCATCGTTTTGGATTCGGTTCGGTTTTATCTAGTTCTACCCGTACAAAACCGGTTTTAATTAAAAAGCCCTAATTTTCTCTGATCTTTCGTTGTCGTGAAATTTCTCCGTCATCGTTCTCCAATCTCACTCAATAGCTTTGCCGGTCTTCTCTCTCACAGGTTCAGTGAAATTTCAAGTTTTGATTCTTAGGTTCTGATTGCATTTGTGTTTGCGTTTGGAGTGTTGGTAATACGATAGCACTGGTCTGGGAACGAACTGCAAAATTCTGAAACAATTGATGGAACAAGGGTTTGTTTCTTTTCTCTGCATCCTTCATGAAGTGTTCTTTAGTAGTAAGCTCCAAAACCCTAACTCTTAATATATATGTCTTCTTTGATTTTTAGTGGTAAAAGTTCGAGAATGGGAGATTTTATGAGTGAGGACAGGATCAGTGAGTTGCCTGAAGTTTTGCTTCTGAAGATATTGTCTTCACTTCCTACGAAACTTGTCATATCCACAAGTGTTTTGTCTAAACGATGGCGCTCTCTTTGGAAAATGGTACCAAGACTCGAGTTTGAATCTTATCGAAACATATATGAATTTGCAGAAAATGTTACCAGGTCTTTGCTTTCACATAAAGCTCCAGTTCTAGAGAGTTTGCATCTGAAAGTTAGAGATCAATTTGATGGTGTATATGTTGGAGTTTGGGCTACAATTGCATTTGCACGCCATGTTCGTGAGTTCGTACTCGATCTTAGTTTTTGCCATGGCCTGCAAATCAGATTTCCAAGTAGCTTGTTTTGCTTTGACACACTTGAGACCTTGAAACTTATGAATTACGTTTATCTTGATTTTCCTTCTCTGGTTTCTATGAAGTCCCTTAGAACTCTTCACCTTCTATCCCTGGTGTACAAAGGCGATGAATCTGTTCATAATCTTTTTTCTAGCTGCCCTAATCTTGAACATTTGGTCCTGCGTCGAGGTTTCTCTCATGATTATGTTAAGAATTTCACCATTGAGGCACCATCTTTGAAGACACTATCGCTTTCCGATTCCTTTCGTGCGCGAGAGAGTAGTGGATATGTGATAAAAGCTCCTTCTTTGAAGTACTTGGGAATTGAAAGTGTAGAAGGTTATGAGTTTTTTCTGATTGAGAATGCATCAGAGCTAGTTGAGGCTAGTATTAGAAACGTTTCTAAGATAGTCAATGAGAAGATTTTGGGATCTCTTGAGTCAGCCAAGCGTCTTTCCTTGGACTTATCACCTTTGAAGGTAACTTTGCGGGTTTTTATCGCACTTGACTTATTTGTTGTTTCTGTACATACTAATAATTGTCTCATGAATAGATTACATATCCTACTGAAGTTATGTACCATCAACTGGTATATCTAGAGATGCATACACATAAAGTGGAGTGGTGGAATATGCTTACGGTCATGCTTGATAGCTCTCCTAAACTACAAGTCCTCAAGCTGATTGATGTAAGACATTTCATTATTAGTAAGCTAGCTCTTGTTGATGGTCTCTCTCGTTGGGGTTAATTTTGAATGACTAATAATAATATACATTGCATTTCCTTTTGGTAGCATGAAACTCGTCAGGAAAATCTAGAATTTAACAAACAATATACGGACCAAGGGGAATGGAATCAACCAAAGTATGTCCCTGAATGTTTGATGTCCCATCTCGAGACATTTATGTGGAGAAATTGCAATTGGGGAAGAGAAGAAGAGAAAGAAGTGGCTACATACATTCTAAGGAACGCAGGACAGCTGAAGAAGGCAACTTTCTCCACGGATCCCATTGAATCAAAAAGGCTCTGTAAGTTGGCAAAGAGAAGTAAGATGCGCAACGAACTGGATGGTGTGGTCAGGGCTTCCAGCTCAAGCCACCTTGTGTTTGAATTCGAATGATCTTATATGTGTTAGACTTCATTTGCATCACCTGGAGTTTCTTTTATTACATGCTTTAGTTTAATTTGTTTAGAGGGATTTATAAACAAATTAGTTTTATTTTGTAAGAAGTCAAGGAAAAACTTGTTATTGTTACCAACACTCTTCTGCAAGATTAAAAGTAATTTACAGGCTTTATAAACGTATTCCATTACTACAACAGTCGATGTTAAAGACATACATGCAGTCATGTATATTAAATCCAAATCCAGCACCAAAATAACAAATAATACACACAAGTAGTAATTTCCATCGGAGATTACGTTCAAAGAATGTGTAACTCAAGATCATAGCCTACTCGGGACTTGTGCCTCTCAAACAGATCCCTAAGAGCTTCCACATACTGGCCATGAAACTTGTCAATCTGAGATGCGCAAAAACACCATAAGCTGATGAATGCTGAACTCACAAGTAAGCATTATTCATAGTAACGTCTAGTAGCACAATTCCATTCTAAGAAGAAGCTATAAAACATTATACATGAAGACTAACCTCTTCATCAGTTGGCTTCAGAGTTTTTGTAACTTCTATTGGTTTACCAACAACCACGTGCATAGGCTGTCGACACGGTAGTGGTGATCTAGAAAAGAAATGGGAATAGTTTACCTCTTTCAAGATTTCCATAGGCAGAATGTATCTAAAGGAACTAACCCAAAAAGGTTTACGCTTACCCAAAAACTCCCCAGAAGCAGATCGGGGTAAACCTGATTGCTCTAGATAGTTTAAGATAGAGATCCCAATCCGGCTTCCACCATTTGTACACGCGTGCCTGCAGAAGAAACACACACATGAAACATAAAACTGGAAAGCAGAAACGGTACAAAATTCGATTCATGTTTCTGACCAACTGATTAGTTTGAGAGTTTCAGGTACATAAAGACAACTAGATAGAGCATAACACTTTGTGAGCAACTATTTTTCCTTACCTGACCAAAGCAGAACACTGGAACCAGAGGGCTCCCCTGTTCCATGGCTATGCGCACAAAACCTCTTCTCCTTGAAAGGAAGACAGTCTGCAATGTGAGATACAGTTCAATAAGGAAATCATAAACACACCCTTTTCTCTTGAGTTTACAAACTACATGTACATGAGATATCTCTCAAGTAGTCTAAAACTTGAAGCTTTCTAAGTAATCCAAATCCCTCATAAGAAAATGATTTCATCAAAGCAAAAGTGAATGCTACTAATTGAGCTACAATAAAGCTACCTCAGCATCATGTTGCATATGAAAAGTCTCCTGCACACCACCAGGTACAAGAACACAACTGTAGCCAGAATTCAAAAGGGAAGTAAAATTCTTCCTAGAAGCAGCGGTGAGCCCTAACCATGTCCATATATGCCTTAGAAAAGGAGTGTAGAAAATCTAAAATCAATTTTGCAAAACAATGAGTTTGTGGACAAGAAGGTTAAGGATACTACACAAAGAGATTAAGCAGCATGAACTCACAGCACTACTTGCAAGAACTTTGATATTAGTAAGAGGCATAAACCCTGTGAGATCACAAAGAGCAACAACTCCAATCGGTAACACCGAATGTGGTTCATAACCAAAGACTGTAATCACAAGTTAAAAAAAAAGTCAACGATATCACAAACCCATGTTCAAGTTTGATACTTTGGAGTAAGAACAAGATTGTGACAAACCATAGGCACGATTAGGCTGAAAAGCTTCGTATTCCTCGACGTACAGAGAGACAGGGAAATAACTACACGCGTGCTTGCATATGTACCTGGTCAACAAACAAATAGATGAATTTGAGACCAAAAAACGATTGGAGATGAAAGAAGAGAGAAAGAGAAGAAGAAGTACCTAGCGAGCTTACGACCGTATTTGCTACGATGGTCGATTGGGATGAAGATAAACAGAGAGAGCAAGCCCAAGACCCTGAAAAAAACAGAGGATTTCAAAGAGTTTACCTTTGAGACATGTAACAGCAAACAGAGAGAGATAAAACTATAGAGAGATAGATAGAGAGAGGGGTATGTACATGAGAGATAGAGAAGGAGGAAGAAAAATGAGAGAACAGAGAACAAGAGCGACGTTGAAGTGAATGGCGCCAAGCCAGATGGCTATGGCGATGATCGAGTGGAATTGGTTTGAGGTTTGCTCAGCTCGGAACTCTCTGGAACCACCCATATCACTAGCTCCGGCGGATTCTTTGGTTTGTCCGCTTCTCACAGATGAACGACGACAATGAATGTATCGAAGATTCTACTCAGATCTATCTATCTTCTCTCTCACTTGAGGTAGAGAGCCCAAATAACCAATCTTTTAACTACCCAACTTTTTTAAAGAGTCCGACAAGATTCATACTTTCTCTCATTTGATCCGTAATAATTATTGCCCAAGTGGAGTTTTCAAAATTACATCACTTACATTTTGGGCCAAATGACAATACTTCCCTAAGTTTAATATGCTCTAACAATTTTTGCATACCACTAGATATCTTCCAATGCTTAGACTTATATTCAACTGGAAACATCACATTTAACATGCAATGAATGAGCCTTTTCTCAGTACAATTAGTGTAGAGTAACACAATTTTGCGAGTGATCATTCCCAGAAAGAGCCTTTGCTCAAGCAGTCAGTCTATCAGCAATTGATTTGACCCTCTTTCACCAACTTTCTCCAAGCGTCAAGGAAATATCCTTTAACCGATATGCAGACTCCTATCTCCTACCAAAAATGGAAGCAAGCAATGCTTAACCACAACAAAGTTGGATCTGTTTAACAACTCACTGAACAAGTGGTGATGCTGCCATCAGCTCTACACATTTCAACTGTGGAGTGGCATATCGGAACTCTTTGATTGCTTGTTAATCCATATCTTTCAGAGGTACAGATAAAAGAAGGCACAGTCTCAAACTCAATAAATAGACCAAGATGCCTCCATTTACTTGGGAAATGTAGAGCTGAGCATTTAAATTGCAAGCAACTTCAAAATTAGTTTACTCTCTCAGCTGCAGCATTGCGTTGTAACATGACACATTGTGGTAATAATACAGTGAACAGAAGCAAGCTCCTTTGAAAATGCACAACTATATTCAGAGTATGTGGAGGACAATAATCATTGTAAGAAAGTTGCAGAAACACACAAATGAGTTTTAAAGAAAGCCATCTCTTTTATCTTGTTCCTGAGCTTCCTTATTAGCAGCTTCAACGGATTTGAACCATAGAAATACCTGCACGCAAAAATCCACAGTTTCAACTGAAGAAACAACACAAAGATCAAATGGACAAAAAACAAAAGAGAGAGAGTCAGAGAACTCACAGAAGTAGGGATTCCAGTAAGAGCAAAGAATCCAAGCACAGGAGTATAAAAGATGCTGTCAGAATCCAAGACCCCGAAAACTGGATTCTTGCTTGAGTACTCGAAAACAGAACCAATCTACAGTGAGCAAAAGATAACATCTTTGATATGAGAATCAGCAATTTAAAAAAAAAAAACAAAAGGAGTGAAAGAGAAAAAGAATCATACAGCAGCAATGGCAGTAATCGCAGAGGCTAGCAGATAAACATAGAAGGGAACCTCAAAGCTCTCTTGGGACGTAGAAGAACGACCTTCATTTCTAGCCCAAGGAGGTGGCTCATCTGAGTCAGGGTTCGCCCAAGACGGTTCACTTTCTTTAGATTTTCTAGAACCCTCCGTCGCCGCCGTCACGACCAATCTCCTCACTGTAGTAAGTTCGTAATGCAGCAAGTGACCCTTCCTCCTCCCAGCCAGAGGATGGTGGCCTGGAAATGGTGATTTGGTAGGTGAACGGCTGTTACAACACTCATCACTATGGCTTAGACAGAAAGTGGTCGGAAGAGATGTTAGAGACGCGGCCATAGATGCTTAAGAAGAAGATGAAAGCACTCGACTTTGGTCTAAAACAGAGTCTGAAGCGGTGAATCGATGATTTTCAGCCACACGTTACAGTTCTTGATTATAAATATCTCATCTATCATCCTGATGTGTATGAAGGACACGTGTTGCATATAAACGACATTTTGGTCACAGTTTGGGTTAATTTTAGCTCCTAGAATCAGGACTTGAAAAACCTGTAGCAAGTTTACGTCTTTAGTCCCAAGAGGCCAAGACCATTGTATTGATCAACTTGAAAGACACAATAAGTGAACTCAACAGTTTTCTTTACAATCTCCAATTCTCCAGACACAACAAGCTTAAGTTATGTAACCAGAAACAATGTTATTACTACATAAGGCAGTGTTTGTACATATGAATGGGGCAGATAAAACAAGTGATCAAGGATCAACTAAACCTTCCATTACAACGAGCTTGTCCAAGAGCTCAAGTTTCTCATCTTCAAGGGCTTTAACCTCATCCTCTGCTTCTTTTAACTCTCTCTCCAACGCGAAACTATCTTCTTCTAGCAGCAAATACTTACGCCTCAGTGCTCTGTACTCGTTTCCTGCAGATGAATCTGAATTCGGAGACATGTCAAGTTGATGTGAAATCGCATGAAACTTGCTCCGATTTGAAACTTTTTTCCCGATTCTTGGTGGTAATTGGATCAAGGGTTGTTTTGGAGTAGAAATCTTCATTCTTTTTGCTTCAGAAAACGGTGGAATCTTTGAGTTTTGCATCTCTGCTCAAGATCATCAAAATTTAACAAATTTTTGAGATTAAAAGCCAAAAAGCATCAGAGTAACCATGGAATACGATGATCTCAAATCAAAAGCAGAGAATAAAACATAAATCGAGAATTTCTGCAGTAGGACTTACCTGCGATTTGTTTAGGGTTTCACTCCAACGAGAGAATTGGGAAAGCAGAGATTATCAATCAAGTTGCCTGCCGGAAGACGATTGAGTGTTCGGTTTGGGATTTATGATTTTGTTTAGAACCGACATTGACTTCAAACCGTAAAAAACCGTTAAAGGCGTTCAAAAACAGTAAGACCGGTTGGTTTAATGTCCGGTCTGATTGTATAGATTGCAATTGGTTATTCTAGTTAATAAGTAAGTAAAAGGGTGTGGTAATTACATAAAAAAGGACATAAGAAGCGGTCAAAATAGCAATGTCACATTCTCCTTATATCTCTCTTCTTGACCAACTCTCTTTCACTCTCTCTCCTACCGTTATTACCATTTCTCAAAATGCTACATGCTTCTTGTTAATCACTAAAACATCTTTAACAACTCGTTTTTTGTTGTTGTTGTTAAATCGCATAATTTAAGGGTAACAACACTTGTTATTTTTCCTTTACTGTCAGAAGGAAAAGAAAGATATATATGATGATGTTCTATCAACAGAATTATTGATTCTTAATTGGGAAGTTAAATCCACTGTAAAAGAAAAAAGGATGAGGAGTGTAGTGTTTGTTGCTTTAGCCGCTGCCATAGGGAATATGTTGCAGGGCTGGGACAATGCCACCATTGCTGGTATCTCTCTCTCTCTCTCTCTCTTTTGGTATCTTTGTTTTCCTTTGCATAGAAGAACTATACGAAAACTCACAATGATTTGATGTTGCTTCTATTTTGGTGGCAGGAGCTGTAATTTATATAAAGAAAGAATTTCATTTGGAGAAAGAACCAAAGATAGAAGGACTGATCGTAGCAATGTCTCTCATTGGAGCCACTTTGATCACAACTTTCTCTGGTCCTGTCTCTGACAAAGTAGGAAGGCGTTCCATGCTTATACTCTCCTCTGTTCTCTATTTTCTGAGTAGCATCGTTATGTTTTGGTCTCCCAATGTCTACGTTCTCCTTTTCGCAAGGCTGCTTGATGGCTTTGGGATCGGTCTAGCTGTCACTCTCGTCCCAATCTACATCTCTGAGACTGCACCTTCTGAGATCAGAGGATTACTCAACACTTTCCCGCAGTTCTGTGGATCTGGTGGGATGTTTTTGTCATATTGTCTTGTGTTTGGGATGTCGCTTCAAGAATCACCGAGCTGGAGGCTGATGCTTGGTGTTTTGTCAATTCCGTCCATTGCCTACTTTGTACTTGCGGCTTTCTTCTTGCCTGAATCTCCCAGGTGGCTTGTCAGCAAAGGCCGGATGGATGAAGCTAGACAGGTTCTGCAGAGACTCCGTGGCAGAGAAGATGTTTCAGGTTTGTCTTGATGAACACTAAGACCTTTAGATTATCGACTTTGAACTTAGACTAACTCGGGGTGTGATTTAGGCGAGCTTGCTCTGCTGGTTGAAGGGCTTGGGGTGGGAAAAGACACGTCGATAGAAGAATATGTGATTGGACCGGACAACGAAGAAAGCGAGGGTGGGCATGAGCTGCCGAGGAAAGATCAGATAAAACTATACGGTCCAGAGGATGGACAGTCATGGATGGCTAAGCCAGTGAAAGGACAGAGTTCTCTCGCATTGGCGTCCCGACAGAGCAGCATGTTACCCCGTGGCGGATCCCTCATGGACCCACTTGTCACTCTCTTTGGTAGCATTCATGAAAAACTCCCTTCTGAAAACATGAACGCATCATCCCGCAGCATGCTCTTCCCCAATATGGGAAGTATACTGGGAATGATGGGAAGACAGGAGTCCCAGTGGGATCCAGAGAGAAACAATGAAGATAGCTCTGACCAAGATGAAAACTTGAACAGTCCTCTGCTTTCTCCGCCAACCACGTCTGAGCCGGATGACTACCACCAGCGGACCGTTGGTACCATGCAGAGGCGACAGAGCAGCTTGTTTATGGCAAACGTGGGTGAGACAGCGACAGCTACAAGCATAGGCGGTGGATGGCAATTGGCGTGGAAGTATAACGACAAGGTTGGTGCAGATGGTAAGAGAGTCAATGGAGGGTTACAGAGAATGTATATTCACGAGGAAACCGCCAACAACAACACCAACAACATTCCTTTTTCGCGACGTGGATCACTTCTCTCCTTCCATCCAGAAGCTGATGGTCATGATCAGGTGAATGGATACGTTCAGGCTGCAGCACTTGTGAGCCAAGCTTCTATGATGCCAGGAGGTAAAGGCGAGACTGCAATGTTGCCAAAAGAGGTCAAGGATAGTCCAGGCTGGAGGGAGCTGAAAGAACCAGGGGTTAAGAGAGCTTTGATGGTTGGAGTTGGGCTTCAGATACTGCAACAGGTAATGTTTTTTTTTCGAATTTTTGTCTGTAAGAAGTAAAGACACAAAACAAATAAGGAAGTAAATAAAAGAAAAGAAGCATGTTTGCAGTTTGCAGGAATAAATGGAGTGATGTATTATACACCTCAAATATTGGAAGAAACAGGAGTGTCAAGTCTTTTGACAAACCTTGGAATAAGTGCAGAGTCTGCATCGCTTCTCATAAGCGCCTTAACCACACTCTTGATGCTTCCCTGCATTCTTGTTTCCATGAGGTTAATGGATGTAACTGGCAGAAGGCGAGTTTGCTCTACTTTTCCTTCTCTTTTTTTCAGCTGAATGGTATAATTTGAAAAGTAACAATACCAGAAGCGTGATTGCAGGTCTCTGATGCTTTCCACTATCCCCATTCTAATACTGTCGCTGGTAACACTGGTGATAGGAAGCTTGGTGAAGCTTGGAGGTACAACAAATGCGTTGATATCGACAGCTAGTGTTACGGTGTACCTAAGCTGTTTCGTGATGGGTTTTGGGGCAATCCCAAACATCCTATGCTCAGAGATCTTCCCTACCTCTGTACGTGGTCTCTGCATCACCATCTGTGCCCTCACTTTCTGGATCTGTGACATAATCGTCACTTACACTCTCCCAGTCATGCTCAAATCCATTGGCATTGCGGGAGTCTTTGGCATTTATGCAATCGTCTGTGCTGTTGCATGGGTTTTTGTGTACCTCAGGGTACCAGAGACAAAGGGAATGCCCCTTGAAGTTATCTCCGAGTTCTTCTCCGTCGGTGCAAAACAGCAAGACGCTGGAGCTTCATTTCTCTCTGATGGATGACTTTCTATTCTCTGCTGTCTTTTTCAACATTCCTGCTGTATTTGAAGTTGAGCTCATTAATAATAACAAATTCATATCATTAGTTTGGTCTTCTATAATTCTTCTTTAGGCTGTATAAAGCTTTCCTGGATTCTTGGTGTTATAGCTGCAAATTGGGAGCTCTTCACATGTGTGACCATGAGATGAGATGTAGACATTAACCAAATTTTTATTTTTTGTTGTACAAGTCAAATCACCATGAGATTGAATACAAACAGTGTTTGATCTCAAGTGTAGCAACAAAGAGGGATTAGTACATACTATAGCCATTATGAGGTCTCTCTGGTGCAATTAATTTTCTGGAAATACTTTAGTTGCAGCGACTTGAACCATTAGCAGAGATATCTTCAAGCTGCCTTTCCCTAGAGGACCGAGCCTTGGCGTCTTCTTCTTTTTCTTTCACAAAGGAGAGAAAGGAGTGGATACGCGTGGATGGTGAGCTTCTTCTCCTGATCGACCCCTCTGCTTCTTCAGGGCATTGTCGTCTGAACTGACGTATCATCAACACTGTGTACACTGCAAGAGCAAGAACACATGCCACTCCACACACCACAAACAACCCCCAAAAGCTCTTAAGCTCCAGCCTATCCACTTCTATCTCTGCGCCTTGCAGAGAGCATGCTTTTCTAAGCAACCATTTGTCCCGAATTCTCTGCATATCTCCATTTTCTGACAGCTGCAAAATTGCAGCGGAGACGTCCACAGCCAAAGGCGAGTTACGCGGAAATGCCTGAACAGTGAAAATACATATCATCAACACTATCACACTATCAAATTCTAAAAAGCTCTGCAGGTTACTGTTTATATTCAGAACGATACTCACAAATCCCCATCCGTTTTTCGTGAATTCTTGACCAACTATGCCGAACTCACATCTGTTTGAGAGGAAAAGCTCTATGTAAGCACGTTCATCAACAACAGCAGCAACACCACCTTTCCCAGGACCATCTCTCAAGGCCTTATCATATTCCTCTGGAGACCGAAGGGGGACAAGTCTTGAAACATGGATATTGAGTTCGTTGACCAGATAGTCTCTGACAAAGGAGCCTTGTGGATACCCAATAGGATCATGGTTTGTTTGCAAAGTTTCTATGCCTTTAATTGGCGAAGACAGCTGATGAACTGTGAGGATTGACGTGAGGCTTGCGGTATAACTTGAGTTAATTATGAGAACTACGAATAGCCATATTATCAGCACTATTCTTCCAAGGTTGCTGGTGGTAGTCTCTCCTGTATACATTGGACACCAAGTTTTAAATGGAACAACTAAAGATAGAATAGAGGGTGTGGGAACTACACTTACTATGCGAGAAGAAAAGAGTTGAAAAGCTGAACCTGCAAAACAAGTAAACAACGAAATATTTCAGAGAAATGACCTGAAAAAATTGTAGAGTGTTTGGAATTAAGTTCATCCGGTTGGAGGCTATTATGTTTTCACCAGAAAGTAGTAATCACTTGTCTACGAGGAGGGCCTCGAAACTCGTCATTGTGTTTGTGCTCCAGACACCAAATGACAGCACCGACTATGAGGAAAGACGCAGCTGCAACAAGCCACATCTGGGGTGTGAACGGCCTCAAGAACGCCATAGCACTGGAACCCAACTTCCGAACAGGAGCCACCACCACTAGCCCTGACTCCACATACGGCTGAGTAAAATCTGCCATTTTGGTTCTCTCTGTGATGATGGTGATATCACCAACACCCGCATCGTAGACCTGTGTAAAAAATGTTTGATCCACAAAACATGTCAAGTACACACCCACCAACTGAGGCATCAACATAACAGGTTCTAAAAGAGTGCTTAGTACTCACCCCAGTCGTTATCAAGCGCACAAGCTCAGAGTTACTTGGATTGTCATGACCATTCCCAAAAGCTACAAGCTCAAATGGGACTGCGTAAGGTAATAAGTTAATGG